CTGGCACAGGCGGTGGTTTCCGTCTGGCGCACTCAACACAACCCTTCAGAATGTTCACCACGTCACCCCCCATTCCCGGCCAATAATAGTCACGCTGAAGCAGGGCAAGCGTTTTGTTAACTCCCAAATGCAAGAGGCGTTCGTGTGCGGCCAAGACAACCTTCCCCCTCACAGCAGCAGGCACCACAATCGCATGCCGCCGGGACAAACTGTCCCATCTCATCAATAGGCCTTGCTTAAGCTCGTAGGAGCCAGTTCGGTCGTGGTTACCTTCGGAACCCCCCGTCTTGCGGCGCAATGCCAGCAGGGAGCTGTCCGCCATTTGGAGACGGCCCCACTCAATCAATGACATTGAGAGCAGCGAGTCCTGACCCCCAGGGGTAGCGGGACCATCCCCAATTGGTGTGCTCGCGGCCGCAACCAACGCCTCCCTACCTTCCGTAACCGGCGGTTTACAGCGCGCCGATCCCGATAAGCACGCACATTTGTGACAAGGCAACAACCGCGACAGGGCATCGGCATTTGTGTGTCGCAAGCCTTTACGGTACGTAATCGTGAACTGATAGTCCTGGAGGACTTCCAACCACCGCGACAATTGGCCCGAGGGCTGGGCGACCCGCAATGAATACTGGAGCGCCGCGTGGTCCGTCCGGACCGTGAAATGACGACCATAGAGATATGGCCTGAATTGTTGTACAAAAAAAACAATGGCAAGCAGTTCGCGACGGGTGACGCAGTAGCGCTGCTCTGCCGGCGACAACACCCTGCTACCATAGGCGACCACTCGTTCGACCCCTCCAACGACTTGGGACAGCACTCCCCCAATGCCCGTGTTGCTAGCGTCCGTGTCTAGCAAGAAGGGACTCGCGAAGTCCGGATAGCGCAAGGGTGGGGCCCTAACCAAGGCGTCCCGGAGGGAGCAGAATGCAGCCTCCTCCTCCGGTCCCCATCGGAACCTCACTCCTTTCGCCGTTAGAGCGTGCAAGGGTTTTGCAATGGTGGCAAAGTGCTCAACGAATCGGCGATAATACGAAGCAAAACCGATGAAACTGCGTACGTCTGACACTGACGTGGGCGTTGGCCACGAACTGACACAGTCCGTCTTCGCAGGATCGGTAGAAATCCCCGAAGAGTCGACAATGTGACCCAAGTACCTCACGGATTTACGAAAAAGGTGGCATTTGGCCGGTTTAAACTTTAATTTAGCCGATCGCATTCGCAAGAACACCCCCCTCAATCGCTGGAGGTGTTCTTCAAACGTTTTACCGAAAACAATGACATCGTCAAGGTAAATGAGGCACGTATCCCACTGCAAGCTTGACAAAACCAATTCCATAAGACGCTGAAACGTCGCCGGAGAGGAGTGAAGTCCCATGGGTAACCGGTTAAACTGAAACAGGCCCCCTGGAGTCCGAAATGCGGTCTTAGGCTTAGACTCTTCGTCGAGTGGCAACTGCCAGAATCCGGATAATAAATCAAGAGTCGAAAAGTATCGCGCACCAGACAATGCGTCGAGAGACTCGTCCATCCTGGGGAGCGGATACGCGTCGGCCACAGAGATCTTATTCAGGCGACGGAAATCGACGCAAAATCGCAGGGACCCGTCCTGCTTTTTAACGAGCACAATAGGCGCTCCCCAAGGACTGGAGGAAGGCGAAATAATGTCGGCTTCTAGCATATCGTTAACTGCCGACTGAACATGCTCCTTCTCAGCAGGACTCAGTCGGAAGGGATTTTGCCTGACCGGTGCCGCATCGCCCGTTTCAATGTGGTGGCGTAGCAGGTCCGTGCACCCAATGTCATACTTATGTTTACTGAAGACATCCGAAAATTCAATGAGCAACCCGCGCAGCGCACCCAACTGTACCGCTGATAAATCGTCAGAGTCCGCGCACAGCGAATCAACCCAATCGAGGTCCTCCTTCAATGTAACGTTTTTCGTGGGACTCGGATCCGCCTGCGCAACCAGCCTCTCCTCCGCAGGGACCCGCGCCGCGTGAGCTAGCACGGTGCCCTGCTGAATGACGGCCGGCCGCGCCCCAGCGTTTAAAACCATCACAAACGGATCCCTGTCAGCCCCCACCAAAGTGTGAGCCACCGACAAATCGAGACCTCCAACAGCCCTATTAGAAGGACCCAAAAGCATGCCCTGTTCCGAGGCCTCCTTCACCCATGGCTTCCGCAACCGGAGGGGAATTAACATTTGTGAACCCGGAGGGCACGTGCACGGTCTGTGTCGCTAACGCCTGTATGGTAGCGCACGCCGTCCGAATTTCATTAGGGCTCGTCAAAAATGAAATACGGCGACCCGATGGTAGTTCAATGCAACGCTGATCAATGAGAATTTTGATGGGCATTTTAGCCAAAAAATCAGTGCCCAATAGACAAGGGACCGCCAGGGAGGACGAAACAAAAACGGGTCCCGACAATTTGATATCACCAATGCAAATGGATGCCCTAATCTGACCGATAATGCCCAACGATCCCCCGTTAGCGGCGTAAAATGGCACATCCACCGGAAGAAGCGGACGACATTGTACAGGGAGAATATTATAAATGAGATCCGATATAATAGTCGCCGATGCCCCCGTGTCCACTAACACCCTGACCTCGACCCCATCAATAGATCCGGTAACTACGGATGAACCCGCTGAGGCAGCCACTATTCTGTGCCCCAACTCCGACCATTTAATGTCTCCCCGGTCCCGGCCGAATCGCCCTCTCTGAACCGAATTCCCGAACTCTACTCGGCTCTCCCCCGCCGCAACGCGACGACCCATATGTGCCGAGTATGCGGGCCGAGCATGTGAGGTGCCGCGACTTGCCGGGGTTTGCAGGGACGACTTGGGGCCTTGGTCGTCGTCCAGCCGAGGTCCCATGGCGCGCTGACGTGGGGCGCGGCAACCGGAGGCCACGTGGCCCCGGAGGCCGCAGTTATAGCAGGTGATGACAGTCGTCGGAGATCTCGGTTGCTCCAGCTTGCGGGCCGCTCGCAGAGGCGAACGACCCCCCGATCTCCAGTCCCCCGGTCGTCCCGCGATGAATGCCTCCTCTCGTGGGCTGACGACTTGGGGCACGGTGACAACTGGGCCCGGAGTTGAGGCCACGGCAGCGTTGCAGACGACTCCCTGTTTACGTTGAAGGACCTCGTGCGCTTGTATGCTTGTGGCGACCCGTAAGGATGAAATATCGGTCTCATCGGCCGTGTTGATGGGGACCCCCAGGTCCTGCGCCAACTTGAGCAGCTGCTCCAAAACCATGGCATCTTGGCCCTCCTCGTCCATACGAGGGAACGCGGCGTCGGCGAGAGCAAGCAACGCCGTGCGGTAGGCGAGCACGGTCTCCGTGTCCGCCTTCCGTCTTGCATAAAAATGATGGCGGCACGCGGAGGGAGGACCATAGACCTTGGCCATGAGAGCCAGCGCATCTTTGAGCGTGGAGCGGTCCGACCTGCGTGCGGACGTGAAGGCCGCGAGCGCGTTGTCATCCAGCATGGCAGGCAGTGCCCGCAGTGCCGTAGCGTCGGACCAGGCGGACATCTCCTGATGCGCCAAAAATCTGCGCTGAAATTGGCTCCAATCCCCGCCTTCCGCCTTGAAGGCTGACAACGTGGGAAGGCGCTGCTGAAAAATGAAGTCGTCCTCCTCCTCGTGCTTCCTCTCTGCCGCCCCGCCGGTGTGTAAGATGGCGGCCCCATCGGCGGGTGTGTGATGGCGGTCCGCCGCACGCGTTGGTGACGTCAGCGGGCGCGCATGGAGAACCGCTGCCACGTGGTGATGGCCGTTCCCGCCAAAAGTCGATGCAGATGAAATGGCGGCCATCGCCAAATCGTTTTGGCGGAAATCTGCAGGGCGACCCTGCAGAACGTCGGCCGCCGTTCCCGCTCCTCCCGACGAGCTGATCTCCGCCAAGATGGACGCGGCGGCGAGCAGCAGCTCCGCCAGACGGGAGTGCGCTTCGCGAAGCACGGCGTCAGTCCCCCGTGGCTCGTCCGGCGCCGTCGGCGGATCCTGCCCCGTGGGCAACTCCTCTTCCTCACCCCCCGATGCCAGTTGACCCGCGTCGTCGAGGTTGTCCCCGTGGTCAATCCCGTGGGTCCGACGGTTCCTCCTTGTATCCATGCTTGGAAGACCGTTTCACTTCTGACGCCAGTTGAAGTATGGGAATTGACGGCAGGAACTTCTTGACGGGAACACACTTTTATTAAATCTTTACGTATCAAAATACAACGTGTAGTCTCCTTTCTTCCGACTTCACACTCCACTACTCTCGTGTAAACTCTAGGCCTCTGGCTACACACGATACCCTTCACTCGTGTAGACCCTACGCCTCTGGCTACACAATACACTCGACTCGTGTAGACCCTATGTCCCTGGCTACACAATACACTCGACTCGTGTAGACCCTATGTCCCTGGCTACACAATACACTCGACTCGTGTAGACCCTATGTCCCTGGCTACACAATACACTGCATTCGGCTCGTGTAGACCTTACGCCTATGGCTACACACACTACACTCGCCTCTGGGTTACACAGAGTCCCGGTCCCGTTAGGACAGCGGGACTAGGTACCGCAGGGCCCTAGGTCTTCATCCCCGTCTTCATTCTTCGCTGGTTACACACTGCCCTCACGCCTGTGTGCATCCCCTTTTATAGCCCCTGCTCACGAGAGGCGGAGCTGATGCGTACTTCAACGTGAGCATCGCTCCTTAATGAACCAATCACGACGCACTCTCTCTACGATCCGTTTTCCCCAGCGCGTGTTAACACTCCTCCACCAATCACACCGCGCTGCCATCCGATCACTCCCTCTCAGCACGTCACCCGTCCACAGCCAATCAGTACCCCGTAACCCACGACCCCGCGCTGACCCCTGATCCTCCACCGTCAGCGCACGTCACCACCTACACAGCCAATCATTACGCGCTGGCATACGATCTCTAATCCCAGCGCGTATCACCTCTACAATTATCTTGCCTAAATCCGGCACTGGTCTCACCTTTAAGAACCTCACAGGGTTCAGGATGGCTTGGTCTGTACATTCCTTCCACGCACTCGCACACCGTGTCGCCAGTTGCGAAGCACTTATGCTGAACAAGCTCCCCTGGCAAAGAAAGTCGTGCGAACACAGCGTACAATTGTCATTGCTTAACGAAGGGCATTTAAGAGATGGGCCTCAATAAACACGTGATCGCACGATGTACTGACACCACCACTGTTGGGAACACAGCGTCACGGGTGTGAGAGTTGAATAAGAATACGACAAATACTTTGCTCGTCGCAGATTCTGCATCCTTGGCAGCTGGTGAGGTTATTTGCCGAGTCTGTGAATGTTGATCCGTCGCTACACGAAAGGCAGACTGGGAAATGTTCCTCAAATGAGCAGTCTTCAACCTTCGCTGTCCCTGTTGGGTGAAACAAAGGTTATTATTTTGTTGTTGTTTATCTCAGTTGCTAAAGAGAGGACCGAAGTCAATGCCTCTCACCGTGGAAGCAAAGTGGAGAGGCAGGTGAGGGGTTTTGAATTAGCTTCTATCGGAGGGCTCAGAGCAAATATTTGATTGTTTGCTACCACCTGAGAAGTCGAAACTTGAGCCTCAGCAAAGCGTTTAATCGCCAATTAACGTAAATTATACGCAATAAATTAGTTCAATGTGCACGATTTCACATCATCGACTTTGTAGCTAACTACGTCAATTTAAATAAACGGAACATCTTTATTTACTTTACCAGGTAAAGCTCACTGATCTATGTTGCTTTTTTTCAGAAGCAACTTGGCCACAAATGATAGCTCAATAGATCATACCAGAATCTAAACTTATGCTGGAGAAAGCCGATGAGCTGAAAACCGCTTTTTCAAAGATGTCCAGATGGGGCGGGTCAGAAAGTTAAAACAACAAACAATCCTAAAAATTATAATCGTGCAAAGTATAGGAAAGGTAAAAAAAATGACAAGAATAAATATGTTAAATAAATCAAGTATATGTATTCAAACGACTTTCGATCGGACAAAGAATCCACGTGGCTTCGTCACCTGGGGGGCACAGCTGGCAGCAGATGTTGGTCTCGGTTCTGTACCTTCCTGGGGGGCAGCTGTCTTGATTGTCCTGTGCAGAGACTGGAGCCATCTGCACACACACAGCACGTTAACTCACACTCACGTGTACCACGTTAACTCACTCACACTCACACGTGTACCACGTTAACTCACTTACACTCACACGTGTACCACGTTAACTCTCTTACACTCACACGTGAACCACGTTAACTCACTTACACTCACACGTGAACCACGAGAACTAACTCACACTCACGCGTGAACCACGTTAACTCACTTACACTCACACGTGTACCACGTGAACTCACTCACACTCACACGTGTACCACGTTAACTCACTCACACTCACACGTGCACCACGCTAACCCACTCACACTCACACGTGCACCACGCTAACCCACTCACACTCACACGTGCACCACGTTAACTCACTCACACTCACACGTGCACCACGCTAACCCACTCACACGTGAACCACGTTAACTTACTCACACTCACACGTGTACCACGTGAACTCACTCACACTCACACGTGTACCACGTTAACTCACTCACACTCACACGTGTACCACGCTAACCCACTCACACGTGTACCACGTTAACTCACTTTTACTGCCACACGTGACCACGTTAATTCACTTATGCACCACCTGTGCCCCCTACTGTGTCAACATGGCACAGTTGATTATAAATACACAAATACAAAGATCCCCCGTATAGTCTCTAAAAGTCTGTTGGGGCAAGTGTTGTTAGCGAATAGCACCTATGAAGGCCGACACAGCACACGAGGGTGTTGGTGACCAGCACCAGGCCCGGCCGCCTTTGTCTCCCCAGTGGCGATGTTTACTACACGCCACACGAGATGCTTATTTGAGGAGGCCGAGTCGACCTAGGGGAGACCCAGGGCCGGTTCCAGATCATTCTCACTGCTGTTAGTGTTGGCCCTGAGCGGGAATCGAATTCGGGCCGCTGGGTTCGCAGCGCAGCGTAGTGCTACCTACTACACTACCCTCAGTCACAATGCACACACACATACACACAGAGACGCATACACACACACACAGAGACGCATACACACACACAGAGACGCATACACACAGACAGAAACACACAGACACACACACAGAAACACACAGACACACACAGACACACACACACGCAACTTACCAGCATGAATGTGTGGGTTAGCAGCGTGGTGACCAGGATGAATGGAGACATGGCCCAGGAGTTGTCCACAGGAATGTGTGGATGTGAGCGAGAGGCGATGGACTCCCCTTGAAGTTCTCCCCCCTGACTGAGGACGAGGAGGGTGCGGCACAGCTCAATGGACTTTGAGTTCAATAAAAAAGGAGCTGTCGGAGGCCATTACAAGCATCCAGCAGTAAACAGCGTTCTCGATAGTGCTGATTTGGCCAACGCCGGAGACAACCGCCTCTAATGCAGACTCGATGCCTTGTGGTGATAGGGAGTCTATTTGGTGTTTGAACATCTTAACGCCTCCTGTATTCTTGACGGGAAGAGTCAAGCCCATTAATTTTTTTCATCAACTTGATACTGGCAAAAACGGACCCAGAGACGGCACTCACGATCGTGTAATGAGTCAAAGTTAAGACGCTTGTTGAAATGAGGAAGGTCGTGCGGACATGGAAAGAGAGACAAACTGTATGGGGAACTTACACATTGAGCAATGCCAGGGAAAGAATCAGACAGAGAAGCGTTGTGTGGTGGCTGGACACGGTGTGGACCACACGGGCAGTGTGGAAGACCGAGTGAAGGGGTCAATGAGTGTTAGTTCGTGGGAACAGTCACCAAAGTGATCGCGATAGAAGAGTGATACGGAGGTGACTGATCGCCCGTTACGTTGAATTCCATTTAGCACAGCGAGTTAGGTACTGTGTGCTCCACCCCAGATAAGATAACAGTTTTTGTTAACGTATTTAACAAGTTGGCTTTCGCGACCAATATTCTTCAAAATAAATGTTTTTTGTTAGATCGCGTGTCGCTGGTAGTAATCGCCAGCGAAACTTAGTTAACTCAAATTATAAATGTGGGTTTGCACACACACATGCAGAGGGTCTGCTGAAGTTGACACCAATTGGCACGTTTCGTTCCCCTTACTCGTTAGCTGTGTCGGGTGGAGGTGGGTTTACGACACATTTATTTTTACGCAATCTAACCCAAAACGCGTTATGAATAAGTTGTTTTTTAAAATGTGGCTGAACTCATGCTGCCATGTATAGGAGTAATAATTGTTCAGAATTCACCAAGGCATTGACATCGATAACAATAACAATCCAATTTCAAGTTCATTTATTAGTAATAAAGCCATCGCATGGCAACTCAGATACGATGCTCGTGACCAAGCAAGTGGATGAGGCTGGCTCGCCTGAATGAACCTTGTACCCCAGTTTCTATGTGGAAGTTACTTCGCAGTGTACAGAGCCAAACTTGTTAGTCGACTGAAGATTAACAAAAAGAAAATCCAATGTTACATTTGCAAGTACATACGCTGATAAAAGTGAATCATAGCAATACTTTACTTGACCACAAAGGTCGAATGCGGGGTTCATAAACTCCCTGCCAACCCTTCCGCCTTCAACGTGACCAACCGGCGGTGAACAGCTCAGCCAAGTCCATTAAAGCAAAGCTGCTGAAGAAATCCCGGAAGGCTGTATGGCCGATGGGATGTGTAAAAACATATATTTTTTAAATCCTATGGAGAAACATCTACGGAAAGGAGACCTATTGTCCTGCTTATTTATGGAGTCTTATTTCTACATCTTATTTGCATTGCGTCTTGTTCCAAGGCGATTTACCATAATTCTAGGTGTGCGTACGATAATGGTGGTTGAATTAAAGAGTGGGGTTCTTGTTGAGGGTGTTGGTGTAGTTATGGTGACTTGGGATGACAGATGGGAGTGGTGGAGTTGAGGGGTTGGGGTAGTGAAGGATGTTCAAGCACACCAATATGGGTTAGATCGCGTAATGCAATCTAACCCAAAACACCTCTATTATCTGGAACATTTTCATTGAGTTAAAGGCCAAAGTCCACTGAGCCGAGCCGCACCCTCCACGTCTTCAGTCAGGGGGAGAACCCCGACGCGAGCCTCAAGGGGAGTCCATCGCCTCTCGCTCACATCCACACATCCGTGTGGACAACTCCTGGGCCATGTCTCCATTTCGCCTGCTCACCACACTCCTAACCTTCACACTCATGCTGGTAAGTTGCGTGTGTGTGTGTCTGTGTGTGTGTGTCTGTGCCCAGCCACCGCATGCCTAAACAGCTTTTGTTGGGCCGGATCGAGGGGGCTAGACGGGCGCGGCACGGGCTGGAGAAGAGATGGAGTGATGTGGTACAGGAGGACGTGGAGCTGAGTGGACTTGCCGATGACTGGTACCAGCGGTGTCAAGATCGGCCTCAGTGGAGGAGGCTCGTGAAGGACGCTACTGGGCAGTTGGAGGCAGTCGCCCTCCAACAACAACGGAGGGCGGAGGAGCGACGCTCACAACAACGAGCGGAGCGCCGGGTGGCTAAAGCACAGCAAGTTGGCACAGTAGGGGGCACAGGTGGTGCATCAGCCAGTCATCTCGGTCATCTCGGTCAGTCGACCAGTGGCACCTGGGTCTGCCCCGTGACCTCCTGCCAGCGGGCTTTCGACACTTCACGTGGCCTCAAGGTGCACTTGGCCTGGCACAAGCATCGTGGTGACGTCACCGCCACCTAGTGGCGAATGGCGGTTGTTGTTGTGTCTGTGTGTGTTTCCGTGTGTGTCTGTGTGTGGGGAGCGGTGGTGTAGCGGTTAGCGCGCTGCGCTATGAACCCGTCGACACGGGTTCAATTCCCGCTCACGGCCAATACCAGTGACGATTATCTGAACCGGTCTTGGGCATCCCCTAGATCTACTCAGCCTCAAATGAGTACCTGGTGCGGTGTGTAAACATTGCCACTAGGTAGACAAAGGCCGTCGGGCGTGGTGCTGGCCACCCACCCCCTAGTGTTCCGTTCTGGCCTTCATAGGTGCTGCTCGCAAACAGAACTTGCCCCTACAGTCTGTTAAGGCTCTATTGGGGGATCTGTGTTGTATCTTTGTGTGTCTGAATGTTTTTTGGACATCTTTTTGTCCGTGTGTGTGTGTCTGTGTATGTGTGCCTGTGTGTGCCCTGTGTGTCTGTGTGTGTCTGTGTCTAAGTGTCCCCCTTGTGTGTCTTTGTGTGTGTCTGTGTGTGTGTCTCTGTGTTTGTGTATCTGTGTGTTTGTCCGGGTTCGATTCCCGCTCACGGCCAACACCAGTGACGATTATCTGGACCGGTCCTGGGCCTCCCCTAGGTCGACTCAGCCTCAAATAAGTACCTGGTGCGGTGTGTAAACATCGCCACTCGGGAGACAAAGACGGCCGGCCGTGGTGCTGGCCACCCACCCCCTCGTGTGTCGTGCCGGCCTTCATAGGTGCTCGCTAACAGCACTTGCCCCTACAGTGTTAAGGCTACATGGGGGATCTTTGTCTTTGTGTGTTTATAATCAACTGTGCCTTGTTGACATAGCAGGGGGCATAGTAGGGGGGCACAGTAGGGGGGCACAGGTGGTGCATCTACCGGTCATCTCAGTCAGTCGACCTATGGCACCTGCTGGGTCTGTCTCGTGACCTCTTGCCAGCGGGCGTCTGACACTTCACGTGGCCTCAAAGTGCACCTAGCTTGGCACTAGCTCCGTGGTGACGTCACCTCCACTTAGTGGTGAATGGCGATTGTTGTTGTTTACAATCAATAACAGTGGCGAATATTCGAACCGGTCCTGGGCCTACCCGAGGTCGACTCAGCTTCCTCAAATGAGTGCCTGGTGTAGCGGTGTATAGACATCGCCACTGGGGAGACAAAGGCGGTCGAGCGTGGTGCTGGCCACCTACACACTGTGTGCTGTGCCGGCCTTAATATGTGATCGCTCACAGCACTTGCCCCAACAGCCTTTCGGGGGCAATACGGGGGATCTTTGTCTTTGCATGTCGTGAGACATCTTTGGCAGGACAGTCGACCCTTCCACATCGCGGGGGTTCAAGTTCATGTATTAGGTGTAGCCCTGTGAGCCATTCGGCTCTTGAATCGGGTGCAACCGCAACAAACAAAAAACTTTAACATTAAAACATCTTAAGTGACTAAGTGCAAACAGAAAATCCAAGAAAATACAGCAAAATATTGCAGAAAAAACACCGTACACCAGGCGCAGGCCCCCCGCGATCTGGAAAAACGGCGTGAATTATTTTTTAGTTCAGTTTAGGGCACTAAAACGGCACAAAAAGATTCGACAAACGCGAGATACAAAGACCACTGCGAGATCTCACGTGAGACATCACGTGGGAGGCTGCCGTGAACACGCTTTGGCGTCCTCCAAGCCAGCGCGTAGAATCGCAGTTCTTTTCGCAAACTAACTTTTTAGAAAATGTAGCTTTAAAAAAGAAATTGCATTTTTCTATGGTATTAAAAGATAAAAGACGTTAATATTATACGGTACTATACGTATGTTTTATGCATTTATGAGTTACTAAACTTTTTGTGTGTCGTCTGCGGCTTTCGCAAAACCCCCAAAAAAATCTATTTTATTTCTTGTGCCGATCCCGCGATATATCGAAACCGCGATGGGGGAAGTCGCGATGCAGAAGGGTCGACTGCATAAGTGAGTTAACGTGGTTCACGTGTGAGTGAGTGAGTTAACGTGGTACACGTGTGAGTGAGTTAACGTGGTTCACGTGTGAGTGAGTGAGTTAACGTGATACACGTGTGAGTGAGTGAGTTAACGTGATACACGTGTGAGTGAGTTAACGTGGTTCACGTGTGAGTGAGTGAGTTAACATGGTTCACGTGTGAGTGAGTTAACATAGTTCACGTGTGAGTGTGAGTGAGTTAACGTGCTACACGTGTGAGTGAGTTCACGTGATACACGTGTGAGTGTGAGTGAGTTCACGTGGTACACGTGCTTCACGTGTGAGTGTGAGTGAGTTCACTTGGTGTGTGTGTGGGTAGATGGCTCCACTCTCTGCAGAGGGCAATCAAGGTGGCTGTCCCCCAGGAAGGTACAGAACCGAGACTAACTTCTGCTGCAAGCTGTGCCCCTCAGGTAACGAAGCAACTAATTGGACAGTCATCGACTTACCGCCATAATTAGTTCATGAATTCCCATGCGGTCAGTGTTATGAAATGTGTTACAGTTCAATAACAAAAACTGAATAGTAAATAAAACATAAAATAAGTAACATGAATAGAAAAGGTTACATTTCCACTCACATTGAGTCCTGATGTTGGCTTGCTTGTCGGAAGGGGCGCAATGAGTCACCACAATTGCACAAACACAGACACAAATATGCACAAAAGGCACACAAAGACACACAGACAAAGAGACGCACAAAGGACACACATACAGACACACACA